ATAACAATAATCAGGGCTGAAGACAGTGCTAAAGCAAGCATTTTCATGCACTGCAGACTGGAATGCAAATTGGGACAAGCCTTTAAGAAATCACTGTATCAGAATAGATCAAGAATCTGGAAAACACACATATTCTTCAACTCCGAGATTTTCTTGTGAGGAATGTTATCTTAAAAAGATTAACTCAAAACATTAAAAACAAAAAATTAATACCTTTTAATGGCGTAGTACTGCCACTAATGGCTTTTTGGAAAATTGCTGTGCAATAGAATGGAAAATTTTTCACTTTCTGAATATCTGCCCTAAGAAAAGCAGTTCCTCCAGGCCCGCTGTTTCTCACCCTTCGCTTCCCAGTGTCCAGCTTCCTCAGCTCCCCCGAGCTGAGACGCCGGATGGCCATCTGCTCTCTGGCAAGTCACAGTGCGGATTCTCTTTACCAGGCAATGGCAAACAGAACGACAGACTGCACCAAAGACTCTAGTAGCCATACGCTCCAGGCCGCTGCCCTCCCATTACTGACCAGGTCACAGACAGGAGGTGAGGGTGATAACACTGGCAGAGGAATGAAAGGATTATCTAATTCCTCCTGCCCATTCCCCCATCACATGGGGAGTTTAACAATTCCAATTATTCACAAATAAAATTGTTACCAGCCCTCAAATTTCAGAGAAACTAGTTACATAATGTATGGAAATCAGAATGTAGAATTTTTTTAGAGCAGCACTTTTCATCCATCTCAATAATTCAAAGAACATTTACTTAAAGCTTACTATGTATCAGGCATTAGGAATGTGCACCACCACACTCAGGACATAGGTTTTAAAAAATTAAAACATCGCTGGTTACAAGTATAACTCAGTAGAAGAGCTCTTGCCTAACATGTATGAGGCCCCAAGTTCCATTCTCAGCACCACAGAAAAATAAGAAAATACTAACAGAAGCAGATACTATAGTGGAGTTATGTGGAAAACTCTGAAAGGAATGTCTCCTCTCTAAGCACTGTAATCACTGAGCTCCTTACTTGCATTAATTAAGGTATTAACCTAAGGGATAACACTTAAGCTTAGATGTTGAAGGACAAACATGAATCTATCAACTGAACCAGACAGTACACACTTCAGGCAAAGACAAATGTGCAAAAAATTGGAAGAGACAATTTCTTCCTAACAGTTAAAGCATAAAGAAAAGAACAACTTAGGAGGAACTAGAAAATATAGGGCTAAGAGCTGGGGATACAGCTTATCAGCACAAGCGCCTGCCTGGCAAACACAAGGTCTGCAGTTTGATTCCCAGTACCCCAAAACAAGAGAAAACAGGGCCAAGTATGGATGGAATCAAGGTGTTTACATGTGTTCAACTTGGGAAGTAGTATATATTTTGTCTGACAGTGTCCTGATGGGTTGCCCTACATTTTAAACATGTGCAGTCTCTTGCCTATCAATTATACTCAAGGAGGGTATGTAAAAAGACCACCTGCCCTTCTTTATATACTGCCTACTGCTTAAGTCTCCACCAGTCAGCCTGACTAGGGTAAGTCACCAGCAAGGACACTGTGGTGCACTAAGCCCCCACAGTGCAGTTTCTGACAGTGCCAAGTCTTTCCCCTTGCTGCTGCTTCCACATAAAATATGACAGTCCCCACATGGTGTCATAATGAAACAACACACGTTCAGTGCGTAGAAATGGATCTAGTGTGTAATTTGTACTAGTTGGTAATACACGAGAGCACCAGCCACGCTGCAGGTCGAGAAGCGCAGAAGCCATAAAGACGACCTCTAATGAGCCCATGGTACCACTCAGAACTGCCAGCCGACGCTGTGTGCGCAGCAGTGGTAGCTGACACTTCTGCCTGGGAGCTGGGTCATTTTGAAGTCGCCATGCTACAGTCAAAGAAAAACTGGAGATCAATGCCATGTGATCTGTCCACACTATTCCAAGAATATTTTAAGTGTTCCCATCGCATGCAGTATCAGAGCTGTGGGTTAACTGTGTCTATGAGCAACTACACGGTCACTTTAACATTTGCCACTCTGCACCCTGAGCCAAAGGAAAAGCTTAAAAGTTTTCCTTTAGCCACACTGGTGGTTTAACACGTGCATGTTTTAATGTTCCCATCCTTACAACATGGATGTGAAGTTTCCAGAACTAGAATTTGAAGCATCTCATTTAAATGCTGCCAGGACAATCTGCACATGAGGAAGACAGTTTCCATTTCTCATGGTCTACAATTCCAGTACTCCCATTTTTGAAGGTTAACAAGACACTAGCACTGAGCAGCTACTAAAAAACCTCTGAAGGAAACCAAGACGCAGACTATGAAGTGGAACGTGATAGCAGTGTTGGCAGTCTGCAGCTCTCACCCCAGAGCAAAAGCTCTGCAAATTATTTCCTCTACATAGTACTTAATCCTAAAGTACTGGAGATGGCAATCATGTTTAAAAACCCTTCCCCAAAAAAACAATAAAAAATGACATTCTTAAGCAGTTGTGGGGGGAAACTACTGAGGGTCTTAACTGGTAGGTAAGGAAAAGCTGAGTCACTGACAGTGACATTTATGTTGTGCTTCTCAGTATTTCCGTCTAGTCACTACTGGTTTCTAAGAAAGACAACTGGGCCACAGGTTAAGCAACTTCCTAAGCAGTATAACCAGAGCCTTCACTGCTCTACAGCAAGGACAATCTTGGTTTTCCAAGTGGAAGGTAAATTTGATGGCAATCGGTCTTACTGGGGGTTGAATCCAAGACCTTTACACTCAACTACATCCCCCGCCTCATTCTGTATTCCAAGAATGGGTCTTTGTCATCAAGCCCCCAAGGCTAGGTAGGCTTGACTTGCAATCCCACTGCCTCAGCCCCCAGGGTGCCAGGATTACAGTTATGCCACCATCATGCCAGCCCAACCATAAATCCAATGCTCTACTACTAGAATGTGAACTCTTTATGGACAGTTAGCAACTACCATCTATGTTAAGCATTCAGTGAGATGCAAACTTGGATTTGCCAAATTATAATACTGTACCTATTTCCTATCCTACTTCATTGGGAGAAATTCGAGTTGAAGGAAAGTTAGGACCTTTCCTTCACCCACAGCATTCACTACTTGGGAATACAAAGACGGTCAAATTGAGCGCAGTATTTGACAGGATACGACTTAAACACTAGTAGAAAAATACAGAACATAGCTTAAGAAGACAGCAACAAAGCATGGTAAAATATGGAATGAATCAAACTTGAGGCATGTCCCAGTAGTGAGGATGTTAAGAGGGACAACTGTTTATAATCTGATTCTTAGTTCCCTTGTAAAACAAAAGCTTGGGAAAAGCCAGGTCCAGTCCAAACTCTCACCTCTCCCCACTTCTCAACACATGCAAGTAGTGCATGTATGTGCCCTCTGCCCGGCAGCAACAGGGGTCTCTGAAGTAGGCAACTGGGACTTCCCCAGACACCAAACCTGCCTGCACTGTGTTCTAGGACTTCCTAACCTTTAGAGCTGTGAACATGAATATTTACAGCTGGAGAGACATTAAACAAAAATCTCTAGAGTTCACAGATTATTATCTAAGTGCTTCATGAAATGGTCAAAGCAATTCAGAACCAAAACGTAACTCACAATAGGTGCTTTAAACAATTTATTTAACTGAAATGACTTCCCTTTATTTAACTGAAGTGACCTCTATTTTATTTTGATACATCTCTGCCCCATGGTGATCTTTTCCCCAGTGGATCTTCAAGCCAATATAAATATTTCATAAATATTCGGCCGTTTGGGATAACCTACACAATACCTCAGCAGTATCTTTCAGCAAGAAAAACACCACTGAGTTAAGACCTGACATACACTTAGCCGCCCATTAGGTGCTGAATGGCAGAGCTCCCTCCCCAGCTTATGCCATGAATTCATAGGGAATGGGTTCCAGCAATTCAGGCTCCTTCCCATTGGTCCTCACAAAGTGTGCTTCTCTGGGCGGGGCAGGCTGTTTAGGGGGAAAAAAACATCGTTAAGTATAAAGTATTAAAGATCAGAGTTTTAAAGTATTCTTCAAAATAATCGAAGTTATACTCAAACTCTATTCGAAAAATCAGCAAACCAGTTTTAAAGTTACCAAAGACTAAAACAAACAAATCCTGCCAAGTCAAGGTCTCACCTGGCGCTTTAGTTGAACCCAGGTACCTTTCTCTTTGGCTTCCTTCTTTTTCTGATCATTTTCCTTGACACGTTTCAGGAAGCTATCACGACTCTTTGAGTGTTTAATGTGCTCAATACGCACATTAATCCTCTTGGCCAGGATCTTGCCCCTGGAGAGTAGAAATTTTTAACAAATACTTTAAGAAAAATAAAATAGGGCTGGTGATTTAGCTCAGTGGCATAAGTGCCTGCCTGGCAAGCGCTAGGTCATAAGTTCGAACCAAGAGGGAGACAGCCTAACTATGTAATCACTAATCTTACTGCAAGAGGGCTTGAACATCCCTATGTTAAAAGCACTCTCCTGATGAGTTAGGAGCACCAGAGCCTCTGAACACTAGCAATACAACCCAGTCAGACATTACCGCTACTTTATGCCAAGAAAATCAGAACTGCTTAATACCAAACTGCGCAGACTTTCCAGTGAATCTATTTTGGACTGTTCCCTCTGACAGGTTACAGGACAAACACTAGTTTGCCAGAGTTTTAAAAGGATATTTCCTTTGCCCCACTTGAATGACCAATGAAGACATTAAGTCCCACTGGCAAAGTGAAAGGGGCTTTCTGAAAGAACACTAACTGGCCACAAAGAACTATGACATTACTTACTTAACTTGCTTGTTTACAACAATGCCAACAGCATGCTGGGTAACATTGTAGACTCTTCCTGTTTTGCCATGATAACATTTGTGTGGCATTCCTTTTTGTACAGTACCCATTCCCTGGTTAAGAACAGAGACAATGTTATTTAAGCAATTCCCTCTTCCTTTGATTGGCATGACTAAGAACTTTAAGATATCCTTTAACAGTAACTCAAGAGCTTTCAGAGCCGGTGAAATGTGTTTTTCATATTGCTTCAAGCAATTGCAAAGACAATCATCATTAAGCTCTAGAGTATGAGGGTAGTTAAATGCTTTCACGAAGCTAGCACTCTCCATCTCTAACACGAATTAAATTTGACACTACAGTCTATTCCTTTTCACAATGATAAACTGATGTTCCCCCCACCCCATTTCCCAGTAGTTAACTTTTTAAAGCAGGTAATGAAAAACAGACCCATTAAGAATAGAATTTTTGAATACTTGTAATCCCAGCACTCGGGAGACTGAGGCAGGAGGACTGCCTTGAGTTAAGACCAACAAGACCCTGAACTATACAGCGAAACTGTCTCAGAAAGCAAACAAAATAGAACTTTAATACAGCAATCTTGGGGGCTGGGGATTTAGCTCAGTGGCATAAGCGCTTGCCTGGCAAGTGTGAGATCATGAATTCAATCCCTGGTACCCAAAAAACAAAAAACCAGCAATTTTTTAGCATTAACAATTTCTTTGTTCAGTACTGGAAACTGAACTCAGGGCCTTTACACTGAGCTACATTACCTATCCCCAGCCCATTTTATTTTGAACTTGGCCTAATTTGCTCAAATTTTCAATTTTCCTGCCTTAGCCTCCCAGAGCACTACAAGTATCTGAATTTCCACTGGATTAAATCAGATTTCCCTAACTTCAACAGTTCTTCAATTTCATAATTTACCTTGATGTCTACAATATCACCCTTTTTGTAGATTCGCATGTATGTGGCCAAAGGAACAACTCCTGAAAAAAAATAAAGAAACTCATAAAAAGACTTAGACTTCAACACACACTTTTTATTTTTTACCGTGGCATAGAGATTGAACCCAGGAAGCACTGAAAACTCCTAAACCTCTCTGTAATTTTTGAGGGCAGCGTCACTGTTATCCAAGCTGGTTTCAAACTCGAGACCCTCTTCCCTCAAGCTCTTGTGTTACAGGATTTCAGGCATGTACCAAGCCAGGTCACATATTCTGTCAGTTCTAGAGTAGACAATTTCTCCTGAAAGCAAAGCCAGACTACAACTTGTCTTCAAAGCTTTAATCCTATCCTTATTACAAAATAATTTAGCTGTGTTCTGGTTATTTAATGTCACCAATGAACATTACAAGCCATATATATTAAAAAATGAAAAAATCAATTATATATGCCATGCTTAGCCCTCAAGGAGGGTCAATTTACTTACCATGCTTTCTAAAAGGCCTAGAGAACATATACCGGGTTCCCCTCCTCTTTCCCTTTGTGTTCGTCATTTTGGCGAATTACTGAAAGCACAAAGTATAATAACAATCAACAAGTTTGCAGGTAGCTGCATCTTTAACCCTTCCCAAAAACATTTAAGTATCATTGTTGTTATTTCAGTGACAATTTGAAAATACACTATTCTTAGGGTTTAGACTTTGATTTAAAAAAAAAAAAAAAAAAAAGAAAATACACTATCATTTTAGCAATTAAGGTTTTTACCCAAACAGCGTAAGTTCAGCTTTGGATTTTCACAGGATGGAAAAAGCCCTATCTAACAATCAACCTAATTTTCTACATGTATTTCATGTACTGTCTCCTTAACTGACAATGCCTCAATTTGCTTCATACTTGTTTACTTAGGAAATATATACAGGGTAGAAAGGGAAAACATCTACTGGTAAACTCAGCATAAGCTGCACTTACTTCCTTGGAGATCCACATTTAAGCTCAGATCTCTGTAAAAACTTACTTTCTTTCTTGGTTTCATAAATGGCTCCATTTTTTTTTTTTTTGAGACAGGGCCTCATGATAATAGTTCAGGTTTATGTCCAATTCCTGCCTCTTCAAGGACAAATGGTTGCCTACCTTAAGAGACCTTGAGTGCCCAAAGGCAACCCAAAACCCAATTTATTGCAAAGGGCCAATACTGCAATTAAACCACATTGCTGAGATTTTAGGAGGAAAAAAACCTCCTGCGTTAACATCCCTCCTCTTAAAAAATAAACATAGTATGTGTCCCACAGTTCCACCTATATACATTTAGAATTTAACCTTTCCTTTGTTTCCCAAGAGACTGAAACAATGGTTTTGGTTAATAGTTATTACAAAGGCTTTAAGTGCTATTCTTGGTGTTTAGTCTTAGTAAGGCAAAAACTTTCAGTCAGCCTTTAACTTAAGTTTTCTGAATGGCAGCAGACTCTTAATTTATAAACACTTCTTTTAAAAAACTGTCGGAGAGACACAATGTTTCACCTAACCGTTTCATCGAAGTCAAACCTTTGTTTCAAAGTATGATGCGCACACTACTTTTAGGGCAACAACCAGCTAACCTGTTCTACTCTTCAAAGTCCCAAACCGTATGAAATTTAGTGACGCTGTACAGATTGAAGTCACTTTGTGGAGCTATAAGGCAGCAAAATCAGTAACGAAATTTCTGATGCCAAATTCATGGTTTTTCACCAAGCCCATTTTCGAGTCAAACATCCATTTAATACTAACACACATAAAACGAATTTTCCAACACACTGCTCAATGTGCAAACCAGTAACGGTTAAGTCTACAAAGACGGGGGAAAAAAATCATGCCACTTAGGATCCACCCTAAAAGGGCACCCCAGTTTTCTCAACTCTGGTAGCTGGCTGTTGTCTGTTAATATTCAACCTACACCCCAAAAGTTTCTATTAAGCGGCTACTTAATAAACTTTCGCCCTAAACTTGCAAACACAGATTTATGATCTCCTAGCTGTTTGAGAATCTCTTAACATACACGGCGCAGAGTTAGTCCAAACACCTTTTCTTGGTGTAAAATTTGTGTGGACTTTTTTTTTTTTTGTCTTTTTCCTTTTTATCGGTACCGGGGATCGAACTCACGACTGCCTGCTTGCAAGGCAGGCGCTTATGTCGCTGAACTAAATCCCCAGCCACTTGTGTGGATGTTTTTAAAATTACCTTCTCTTCCTCTATGTGTCATCTGGGCCCCAAACTTAAAAGCCATTGGAATGCACCTCAAGAAACGCACGAAGAGGGGTGCAGAGCCCATTACGCAGCTTAACTCCTGCCATCTCATTCTCTGGCCCGGTGTCCAGGCTTTAACACACATCTAGGTCTCACCGGTCGCAGAAACCGACGGAAGGTTTTGAAGCCGGTGCCAGAACCCTAGGTCCCTGGACTCGAGTACGATACGCTCGGGGGTCAGACCCTGAAATCAGTCCGGGAGCTACCAGGCCAAGCGATCCCGCAACATGGTGGCTCGCGTGCCCCGCACGCCGGGGTTGGAGTTACGCACACATGCTTTGAGTCTCCGCCACGTTAGCCCTAATCTCCACGCCCGCAAAGAGACGGCTCCTTTGCCTCGAGCCCGCCCCCAGGCAGAGCGGCGGCCTGGGAGTCCGCCCCGCAGTCCTGGGCCTCGGACGCAGTGTACGGGGCTCCGGACCTGGCAGGACATGTTAAATTCCGCCCAGGCCAGCAGATCCCAGACGTGCTACACAGTCTCCCGAGGATCCTAACGCACAGCATGAGCGGAGGCAAGGCTGTAACTCGAGTCGGCTAAGCGTAAGAAGCCAGGAGCCACGAGGAGGTCCTACCTGGAAGATGGCGGTTCCGGCCGAAAGGAAGGAGGCGGAGCCCTGGCTCGCGCCTTACTAGGGCCAGTAGGCTGCCCGCGGCGCTGCCTGACGGAAACGCCAACCTGAATTAGCTCTTTTAAGCAACAGAGCCGTCCTTGAGAACAAAGACATCCCATTATAGTATACAGTGCTTTCGTCTGTTGATTGCAAACAAAACAGATTCGGCCAGCGCAAACTGACAGTTGGATTGTGCCAAACAGCCCGGAAAGGGGCCTTCAAGACCGTCAATAAGACGCCGACGACGCGAGCGTGTCGACGTCACTGTTGCGTCACGCGTACGCCGGAAGGGACTCTGCGTGCCTTGGCCGGGAGTTGTGAGGGTGTTTGCCGCGTCGGAAGTATTTTGAGCTTGAAGCTGGTGCTTACTTCTACGGTACTTGTTTGCAAGTGGTTATACAGGCACAAAAAAATACATTATAATTAATTAAAAACAAGTATGTAGTTTATATGGCTTTAAATAGAGTTCCTTCTGCATTTAAACGCGCTTACTAGGGATTACTACCACTTTGGAAAGCAATTTGGGAAGATCTAGTAAAACTGAGTATTTTAAAACACTAACCACCAGTGTACCACTTTTATCTGTGTATGTCCTACAGGAGGTTTGATATGGTTGTGCATATCAACCAGGTTGACAAGGAAGTGCATGCTAGTATTGTGGGTGAAGCCAGAAATTTAAAACTTTTCTAAAAGAATACATTATGCGTTGTAAACAGGATGAAAAAATACATGCTGGCAAAACAGAACTGAACTCAGAAACAGGATGAAGCGAAAGAGAGCGAGGTAGAAGAAATACGCATTATAATTACTATTGCAGTTTAAAAGTTAATAGAACACCATTGTACATTGCTTAGAGGTACAGGTAATGAAAACACAAGGGAGTGAAAAACAAGTGTAGAAAAATGGTCGTGACTTCCCACTTTGCATTTGATGGCTGCTTTATTTTTATCAGGGTACAAAGATGCTCTCCTCTTTTCACTTAAAACGTGCCGTCTTTATGGCTTGTTTACTCTCCTTTCCTAACTCCTGTGCCAGACTCATTTTTTCTACCATCAAACGTGTATTTAACAGTCACGAAATTACTGTTTTTGTACATCACAAATTCTCCAGGGACCAGAGACAAAGCTCAGAGGTAAAGTATTTGCCTAGCATGGGTGAAGCCCTGGGTTCAGTCCCCAGTACCTCAAAATGAAGCAAAACTGTAATCAGTTATCATACAGTTTAACCTAAAAGTGAACACTGCCGCCTGTCCCATTCTGTTCTGACTTTTTTTACCCGCCGCCATGCTACTAAAACTGCTCTTTTCAAGGCATATATTACTTCTGTGTTGGCTTAATTATTTTCCTCATTGGGGTACAAAAAATCTGGCAGCTGAAACTTGAGAGGTTTATTTTGGCTCATGTTTCAGTCCCTGATCTGCTGGCTCCAGGTAGAATGGCATGGCACAGGAGCATGCTGGAGGGAAGGTTGCTGGCTTCCTGGCATTCAGGAAGCAGAGAAATTGAAGGGAGATGCCCAGAAGGGAGATACGCCCCTCTGGGATATGCCCACGGTGACCTGCCTTTTTGGACCAGACCTCACACCCTAAAAGCAAGTCAGTTATAACCTGATCATCTCTAAAGTCCTGAGTATGATCTCATGAAGCTTTAGCAGGACATCTAGATAACGTATAAACCAAAACATTGCCCAAACCAAATGACATATCCTGTTCTTGTTTGTCTTCATCTCGGAAACATTGCACTCTGGGATACTTTTCCTTCCTGAAATACTACCTTTTCTGACCACTTCGTAGGCTCTTGCTGTTTTCCCTTTTACTGTTTCCTTACAAACAAACAAAAGCTCTTTGAGTTTTGGAACTAAATTACCTGCTTTTCTCTATAACACTTTCATTTACTCCCATCAATCTAAATTTTCTCTATATACTACTTACTACCAGATTTGCTTATTTAATTCAAGTCTCATAAAAACTTCTATTCAGCTTGACATCTATTCTTAGATACCCCATAGCAGCTCAGAGTTAATATGTCCAAAATAAAGCTTTTGATTCCATCCCTAAGTCTATTTCTGCTCCATTATTTCTCATGTCAGTAAATAGCACGAGCACTGTCATGGTTTAGATTTGCAATGTTCCTGTAAAACCCCATGTGTTTGGAAGGTGATTGGATCGTGCAGGGGGAGTCATTGGTGGATTCATAGCTGACTTACTCTTAGGAGCTGGGGCCCTGATTAGAGGGAGATCACTGGGGTTGTGACCTGGAAAGGTACATTCCTTTTTTTTTTTGTCTTTTTGCGACAGGGTCTCACTATGCAGTTCAGGCTGGTCTTGAGCTCAATTTGTAGCCCAGGCTGGTCTCTAACTGGCAATGATCCTCCCACCTCAGCCTTCCCAGTGCTGGGATTACAGGCCTGAGCCACCATGACCGGCTGGAAAGATACATTCTTGCCCTGACTCCTCCCCGTCTCTGTTTCCTAGTCACAATAAGGTGAGCAACTTTCCTGTGCCCAGCCCTTCCACCATAGCATTTCTGTCTTGGAGCTATTAAACCACTGAATAAACCAACACTTGTATACCTGTAAGCCAAAATAAAAGCCTCCTCCTTGAAACTGCAAGCCTTGAATATTTTGTCTCGGGAAGAAAGGGAAGAGTAACAAGAAACCAATTTTCCCTTTCTTTGAACCAACCCCACCCCTCTTCCGGTTAGCAGCCTGCTGGTTGAGAGGACAGGCTGAGTTGATGGCATTTGAGGCACTAAAACAACTTAATGCTTGTATTGTCTGATTGACTTTGCTGGCCTAAGACCAGTAGTCTGAGGATCTTTTAAGAGGATAACAATATGCAATGTAGCAAATAAGGGAGATTTCCTTCTGTATTGTTTTTGAAATTCGATACTGTTCTCACTGTTTTGTTTCGTTCTGTTTTACTATTTTGTTTTATTCAATGTTCTGTTTTGATTAGGTTTATTCTGTGTGATTTTAGTATGTCTAATAGTATGGGCAGCAGTTTTGAAGATAACAAGAGGCATTGTGGTAGTCATTCGGGGTTTTCTTTTTTTGGGGGGATTGGGGGTTATTGGGGATTAAACTCAGGACCTCATACTTGCCAGGCAGGTGCTTATGGCGCTGAGCTAAATCCCCAGGCCCCTTGATTTTCTATTACCCTGTTTTGAAATCCTGTATCACTTTCACTGTTTTGTTTTATTGGCTTTATTCTGTTTTATTTTGTTTGGTTTTATTCTCTTTAAAATATGCTTTTATTCTTCTGTTTTGATAGGTTTTATTCTGTTCTGTTTTGTTTGATTTTATTATGTCCAATGGTATGGGCAGCTATTTTGAAGAAAACAAAGAGACATTATGGTAGCCATTGTTGATTTCCTATTACCTTGTTTTGAAGTCCTATACTGCTTTCATTGTTCTGCTCTGGTTAGCTTTAGTCTGTTTTGTTTGGTTTGGTTTTATTCTCTTTAAAATAAAATCTTTAAAAAGCAGGTACAGATGCTCTCCAGTGATGTCAAACACTTACACGTAACTTCAACATTATTCCTCAAACAGTGCATGGATGGTACTGACTTTATCCTGTTGCCAGTGATGTTTCTGCTTTCTTGAAGACCCTTAAAATATCAGAAACAATGTTAGGTCTATCTTTAGTGGAGCACTCCAACATATTGCAATTCTAGAGTTATCCTTCTGTGTGTCTTTTGGGGGGGGCTGGTTTTCTTTTGGTACCAGGGATCAAACTCAACACCTCACTCTTGCTAGGCAGGCGCTTATGCTGCTGAGCTAAATCCCTGACTGTTAGAGTTATCCTTTGAAAGCTCCAAAACCTCTTTATTGCTTCAAATTACTGAATGAGAAAGCATATGCCAAGCATTTTCTCTCTCTCTCTTTTGAGACCAGGTCACTATGTAGAACGGATGAGCCTTGAACTCACTTAAGTAGCCCAGGGTAGCCTTGAACTCACAGTGCTACTCCTGCCTCAGCTTTCCCAGTGTTGGGCTTACAGGTGTGTGCTACCATGCCCAGCTAGCGTACTCCATTCTGTAATGCTTGTGCTGCTCCTGCGTTATCATCAGGAGCAGGTTTAAGGATCCCTGTGATGGTTATCAATAGTGATTATTCACACATGATTAAAAATAGTGGTGCAATAACTTCCAAAATTGCTAAAATGGCTTATAATTAATATTTGTTTTGCCAAACTCGTAATCCTAAAAAGACAATAGAAACTGCTGGTGGTGCACGTCTACCATCTGAAGAGCCCTTTGTACACTGCATCATTTGTTCTCAATGTGTGCTTGAAATTGTTTATGTTTTCTAGCAGGACAGAAGCTTTCCTGTAGGAAAGCTGATGCTAGATAAGAGACTAATAGAAAATGTGCTTCCTTTATGGGACATCCCTGCAGAATTCTGCATGAGGCGTATGGGACAGTGATCTCTAGATAGATCAGATACCTTTAACAAAGTCCTGTGGTCTAGCAGGAAACAACAGAGATTGTTGGATCTGTGAGCTAATTCCAAAAAGTCGGCACATCCCAGGGCCTCTTGACATTCCTAACAAGAAATACCCCGCAACCCCAAAGGATAAATGAAAAGTTATTCTTGAAATTTCACTTTTTTATTTTAAAGAGGATAAAATCAAGCAAAATAAAACAGAATAAATCCAATCACAGATCTGTGGGACACAAAACTTCAAAACAAAGCCAAGCTAACAATAGCTACCAAAATGCCTCCTGCCGTCTTCAAAATAGCTGCAGATACCTTCGAACATAGTAAAAGGCAAACAAAACGGAACAGAATAGAAACAGTAAAAACAAAACGATGAATGCAATAAAGGACTTCAAAACAAGACAATAGTAAATCCAAAATGTCTACTATATCTTGTTATCCTCAAATGAGCGAGCCATGGATACAACATGCCATTGGATACAACAAGATCAAACAAAACAAAACAGAATAAAACCCAACCAAACAAAACACTGAAAATGATACAGGACTTCAGAACAATATAATAAGGAGTTAACAATGGCCACCACCTTCAGAAGGAGATAGCCCATAGATGCCACACTGTGTACCACTATCCTCCTGCATCAGTGATCAGACCACTGGCCCCAGACCTACAAAGTCAGTGAAATACCAAGCACCAAAGCATCAAATTGCATTTCTCCTCAATGGCTATTGTCACAGCCTGTGTTTCTCCAGGTCAGTGGTCATTTAGGGCAGGGCGGTGGGAGGGCACATTGGCTCTTCTCGTTTCCCAGTCCATGCGGTGGCAGTCTACCCAGCAGCAACGGCCCATGAATGGCACTAGTTTCCAGGGAGGGCTTTCCTCCTGGTGAACATTATTCCCTTCCCTGCAGTCTGCAAATGGTGCTGACTCATGGGGAAAGGCAGGAGTCTGGCCGTCCCCCTGGCAGTGGCAGCCCATGCATGGCACTTCTTCGCCTATTCTTGAAATTTTAATACCACTATTTTTCTTCCTGTGGCTTGCTAGACAAAGTAGTCTTACTTTTCTAATCAATAGGAGGATTGTTAAGTTATTTTAAAAAGCCTGGCTCGATGGTTCCTGTACAAAATATATTGTGCTTCCAGGAATTGGATATTTGATACAGTAGCATAGCTGGATACAAGGTCAACACTCAAAAATCAATAGCATTACTGTATACAAATAAACAACTGAGAGGAAATCAGAGAAATAATACCTTTCACAATAGCATGAAAAATGAAATACCTACGAATTAGTCTAATAAAGGAAGTAAAAGAATTTTACATTAAAAATCACAATACTCTGAAAAAAAATCAAAGAGGGTATCATAAAATGGAAAGATATCCCTTGTTCTTTGGAAGAACCAAAGTAGTGAAAATGGCCACACTGCTAAAATTGTTATACAGACTTAATACAACCCTGATTCAAATATCAATAGCATATCTCACGGAATTAAAGAAAACAATCCTAAAATTCATTTGGCTACAGAAGAGACCCAGAATAGCAAAAGCAACTTTGGGCAGCAAAAGCGAGGCAGGGGACATCTCAATCCCTAGCTTGAAATTATACAACAAAGTTACTATAATAAAATCTGGAAAAAAAAAAAAAAACAGGCCCACGGATCAATGGAACAGATTAGGAGATGAAGAAACAATTCCAGATATACTTAGCCACCTTATCTTTGACAAAGGGGCCAAACACCTTCACTGTAAGAAAGATAACCCCTTCAATAAATGCTGCTGGAAAACCTGGCTTTCCACATATTGAAGATTAAAATTAGACACATATTTCACCATATACTAAACTAAAATTGAAATGGATCAAAGATCTTAATATTAAAACAGAAACATGAGGTTAGGTAGAACTCTTAAAGATAGGGGTAGGCCAAAGACTTTGAACAAAACCCTAATCTCATAGGAAATCACAGAGAATCAACATCTGGGATCTCATCTTATTAAAAGCCTTTTCTGCAGCAAAGAAACTTTCCACAGAGTGAAGAGACAATCCACAGTGTAGGAAAAATATTTTGCCAGATCTTCCTCAAACAAAGGACTAATATCTAGAATATATAAAGAACTCAAAAAAATCAGAACCCCCAAATTTAAAGACCCAATACAAAATCAGGCATCTGAAATGAACAGACACTTCTCAGATGAAGAGGTAGAAATGGCAAGTGTTTGAGAGAAAGTGTTCAACGTTTCTGTTCATTCAAGAGATACAAATTAAAACAATGCAAAGATTCCATCTCACTCCAAAAAATGACTATTTTGAAGGAATCAACCAATAACAAATGCTGGAAGGACTGTGGGGGAAAAGGAAACCTCCACTGTTGGATAGGAGTGTAGACTGGTGCATCCACTGTGAAAATCAGTGTGAAGATTCCTCAAAAATCTAAAACTAGAGGTTCCATTTGACCCACTATTCCCCTTTTTGATATCCACCAAAAAGAGTTAAAAGCATGAGCATATCTCTCAGTGTTTTACTAGAGAAACAAATAGAACACAAGGTATACAAGTGTACAAGAAATTACAAAATTGGGTTATGAAAGTCAGCCATAGAGTTGGACAAAGAAGCCTGCATAGTGTATCCCTATAATGCAGACCAGAGGTTTCAGTCCAGGGTCTGGAGCTCACTGCAATGTCCTGTACAAATCTGTATCAGGAGGCCAATGGGTCTGCAGTGGAAGGCTGATGACTCTTGGAAGGCTGTAGGATCGGAGGAGGAAGACAGAGTCTGGCCTGGAAGCCAGGAGATGATGCCCAAGCTGAAGGTGAAGACTGGAGTTCCTCTGAAGAGCGGAAGCAAACCCTGCTGCCTCATCTCCCCTTCACACTGCCCAGGTGACAAATCATCCTGGGACAGCTCATATCCTACGGTGGAAGATTGTTGAGATGATTTAGTTAAGTTTCTAAACTTCTCAAGTTGACACAGTCAATCAAACATTACAGTCCACCCCTTGTCAACCAGACACATTCTTTAAACCAGTCTACAGACAGAAAGATAAGCCTATAATTATGCTTACATACTATAACTATCCTGTATAACAAACAGAAATGAACTAATTCCCTCACCAGAATAGAAGGTGAGTTTTCTTAGGGCAATGCTTCTCTCATCATTTTATAACCCA